TTCCACTAAACAGCACAATGTAAACATAGTGTAGATATGCTGAAATCAAGTAATAAAAACTAAATCCAAGTCCAGAATTCGATCCATCGAATAAAAAAGAGGTTTGAGGGCTGTGCAGAGTGCACAACGCCCGCCGAGCGCGCTCGCTCCCGCAACAAACACTACCGACGTACAAAAGCCGCCACTGCCGGCTGAATGTAGAGAGGGTGTGGCGTCTTTATTGATCTGGCACCCCCTTCGTTCGGATAGATACACTCGGTGCTTTCGTCGGTCGTATTCACGTGCTCGTATGCGGAGCGGAGTGCCTCTCCGACTAGCCGCGTGCTACTATGAACCACGCAGGGTTGAAAACCCGCACGTCTAACAACTCCACATGGCCGTCCCCGCATGCATGAACACTCACATACGCATATAACAAAAATTACCAAAACTCCATTGGTACATAATATTCCTGCATTCCTGCTGGAGGCAAGAGCATCGAAGTTTGCAGAAAATTGAAATTGTAATAGTTAATAGTTAATACCGACGAGGCTGGTTGATGACCGGGTTGACTGATGCGAAAATGGCAGCAGAAATTAATATCGTGCGGCGTTCGGACGTGAACTTGCATGCGAACGTCGGAACAAAATGTAAGCGATAAATTTCCATCGGAGCAAACAGTCCTTTCGCCATCATACCGCACGTTGGCGTAAAGCGTCTCCAGCGTTCGCAAACGTTCTACAACGCGTTTGTCGACGTGAAATAAAAAGGGCAAGCGCGGATTTATGACCAACTCACATAATGCAACCTATTTTACGAGTACGGCCCGCTGCACTTAATATTTTGATTTATTTTCGGCGCGACGCTTCGTGTGTCCGACTGTATGCGCGACGGCGCCGCGCAGGACACACCGACGCAGTCTAATCCGCAAAGCATCATTAATTATTGCCCGCTTGTTTGCCGATTTTGGTGGCGGATGGCGTGTCCAAGCGACGAGATGCGATGGACTACATTCTTCACGCGGCCGCAGCTCGGCGGGAATTACTCAAATCTTAATCATCCAAACTGTCGAATAACTATGATACAGTGTCGAGGGGCAAAAAGACATGAACAAATAAATTAGTTATTTTTGTTTATGTCTTACTGAAGGCAAGAAATAAATTAGAAGAAACTCTCTGTATAAAAATTAAAACGCAAAATATTCACTAGGTAAGTACAATTTAGAGTCATGTAAAAATATTGTGCTTGATAACAAGAAAAATGAAACATGAAAACATGAAAAATTATAAATAATTATTAAAAAATGTTTAAAATCATTGAAGTACAACTTAGGTACGAGCAACCCCTACGTAAATAAGCAGTGCGTATTGTTTAGGAGGTGAAATGGCGCATGAGAAAATTGCACTCGGAACAGAAATTGAAACTCATCGTGCATGTGCTTCCATTGCTTTTCACTTTCATTCCCTGTTCTCCATTACTGCGAAGCAGCCCCGCTGCCTCACCATCAGTGATGACTATGCGCGCTTTTTGCATGAAATTTTGTTTTTTCATCTCGTCGGTGGCGGCAGACCAGCCTCCAGAAGCCCTTTCTTTTATGAACCGTGCGAACGCCGAACAAATATATTTTCAGATCATTGGCTTTTTAATCGTAGCATTGCCATGTTTGAAAGGCAGGCCAGCTGTTTTCAATAAATGTTGCAACCAGAGCGAAACGCTTTGTTATTTGTATGATATTGATCGAACACCATGTGTAAAATTAATTTTAAGAAGCAGTATGTCAAATTTATTATTTCCATAAATTGGCCTCTGATACGAACATGTAATAAACAGAGACGAGATTTGATTAACAGTGTATCACGTGTTCGAAAATTAATATCACCCGCCAACGCTCCACAGTCGACTGGGTCGAAATAATACACCTGCAAATTTCATAAACACCTTGCAAGCGCGCACACAGCACATTCATACAACGCAGTTGATTTTCAATTACGTTCACAAATACAAGGTGATGGCTAAAAATGCGCGCGTCTCTCGTGCCCCTCAGTAAATTAATGAAGTGTCGCATTATCCGAAAAGTGACGCAACGAAGTCAATTAGCGCGGAAAAACTCGACGCCTAGCCACTCCGACATTGACATTAATACCCGGCGTACGAAAACCCGCCGCTCCATGAACAATTTACGCCCGCCAGCAAAAACAACGCTAATTTCGCAGCGTCCGCGCGTTATTTGCAAATCGAATAAGTAACTGGCGCGCGCGTTACTCGGGGGAGGCAGCAGCCGGTGACGAGCATGGGGGGGCGCGAAGACTCTGCAGCGCAAGTTGCACGCAGTGGCAAAAGTTCATGATTAACTGCCCCTTTTTGCAAATCTAATAACTCGCAGCATATAAATTCCGCTTTAATACGCACATTCTCGCCGGGATCCAGCCACCGCCGCCGTGTATTTAGCATTCGGTGAGTTGACCCTAATGGCAAATTATAAGGTAAACTATTTATTTTGCGTTGAGTGCCGGTCGAAACAACATGGAACACAGTTAACATGTATGCGCACGAGGTTTGGGTAAATAATGAGCGTCGGTGCACGACTGCAATAAGGATTACGCAATACGGTGATAGTTCACACGGCGGCTGTAGTAGACGCACATGCATATGGAAAACTTTCTGTTACATGCTTGAAATAAACACGTATTGTGTGCTTGATTAAGACTTCGATTTTAGTCAAGGTCACTGTAGCTACCAATACAGGTAACATGCACTTCTTTTTGAAAACAAATCAAAATATCAACTTGCCAGGAGTATTGCTACGAAAGTAAACTATACTCCTAAAACATGATAATTGAAATAATACTATATCGAATTTTGGCAAACATTACTCTCCCCTAAGTACACTAAAGCTGTATTTATAATACTTCGTTAACGCAACTTGTAACAACGTAGTATAGCGATGCATGAGTTGAATATTGGCCAACTCGAAGCGCTATCTATGTAGCACGGTAAGGAAACATGTAAGTAAACTCAGCTGGTTATAATAACTGTGACCCACGAATTATTTCAACATATGAATTTGCCGGCGCACGACCCATCCTCTGTAGATGAATGCACAGCCGCGTGGCGAATTTGAATAATGCGTCGGGCTTTAAGTATTTTTTCAGGAATGCGAACGAAGCTTTCGAAGCGTTCGCTTGGACGTGAGCGCGGCGTGCGATAGTGACGTCATTGTATCCTGCGAGCGATCAATGAAATTCTGTGAGTGGTCGGGACACCATGCGGCACCTGTGCACAACGCCTCGAAATTTTCTACCCCCAAAAGCAAGAATTCCACTAAAGTTGGAATCCTTCCCCCCTCACACATTTGCAACGTCCCCCTCCTCCTCCTGCACAAGAAAGTCTTTCCTTTCAAGACCATTTAAACACAATACAAAGGTGAAAAATATCATGGGCATTCCCAGAGCAGTGTTTAATCAAGGCGTTTATTGTTTTTAACTATTCTTGCCTGGCTGGCGCGCCGCGCCGTTCGTCCAAAACGTCGAGGACGCGCCGGCGGAATATTAATGCGTCGGCGGGTATTTTACTTTCGCGCACGAGTTTCCTCGCGCAACTGCTACGTGTTCGCCGGCGTCGGAATCGTCCTTCTATCCCGGGTCCTTGTCCCCCTCTAAACCGGCGAACGCTTGCTTCCTAAGCGCCGATGAGGCACCTGCGTTGGGAATTCAATGAATGAACGGGTGAATGAAAAGCGTATAAAAACCACAACACTCCCTGAACCATCAAAAATTCACCAGCTAGACACTCAGCAGATGTGAGTGTAGCAGACGTGAATCTCACTAACAATCCAATTAGAACTGTTCATTTTTACGAATCGAGTGCGAAATATTATGGATGGAGATGGAGATGACTACTAGATGGTAGTAGATACTTGGTTGAGGGTATGATTCATTTCATATTAATGGATTTTGCGTGAAAATAATACAACTGGTAAGTCGTGGTGACTCATCACGAACTAGTTTGACTAGAATCGAATGATAAAAAAAGGTCTCAATATTTAGTTGTGATTATCCGCGTGAAATAAAATCCAAGCAACATTCCGAATTGACAAGTAATGAAGCGGAAAACAACTAAGTATTTTCACCATCTATTTTTATCAACATCGATGTCAAACTGAATAGAACAAAGCAAAAACATGAGGCGATAATGTTTTCATGCGTAGTCTATGCAATTAATCATACATTTTGAAAAGTTTTCTAATGTATCAGTTATGTTGTGATCATTGATCGTGATGGTTGATTTATGTTATTCTGGCATTTTTATAAGGATATCTGTGAGATATGCGAGGCGGATTTTCCATCGCGCCGATCAAACAGCATAAAATAAGTATGGCCATGAGTCTATTAGTTCGGTGAGTGCAATGATCGTAAGATCTTCGTCAAAATGAAGAAGTTTGTTGCGAGTTGCGAAGTTAGGTGCCGATTCTCCCTAGGCTGAGACGAAACGCCGCAACGAATCGATAAAGTTAAACGCTCGCCGGCAATAAAAAATCGCATTACGGCTGCCTTAAGCGGGTTATTGTTCCCAGGTTGACATAATTCGAATGCTTGCGCGACGTATAAGTGCGTCGCGTGCTGTTCCGATCAAACCACGCCGAACTCACGTTAGAACTAAACGAGTTCTAGCAATTTCTGATCGGGAATCGGTCGGCCACCATTCGCAAGAACTAAGGTTATGTACTCGCGGTTTTCGGCGTTTTTCGTGGCTCACGGTGTGGTCGCGAGGCAGATCATCCTATTGGAAATTGCTGGCGAGGGCATCCCTCGACCGCACAAATGTTTTTCGCGTACGATCGCCTAAAAATGTCAGCAGCATGCTGGCGCGTGGATTTAGTCGTCGCGATGCAGACACCACATAAAATCGATGATAACACGGAGCCGCCTCGACATCGGCATGGCGTTTTTCATTCATCGCGGCGCCTCCACGACAGCCGCTCGGCGGGCGGTGTGTATGCATACACGCCGTGCACTACTTACATTGGTTCCTGTGGTCGGTACGCGGCGGTCGTCTTCCTGGGAGCGCCGCTACGGTCGTGGAAGGCCGGGCGAGATGTCCGTCCGGTCGGCGGGCATGTGTTCGGGGCGAAGGCGGCCAGCGGGCGGACGGCTGGACGACGCGGAAGTGCGGCGCGACACTACAGGGCACAGTGGCACAACGGGCGGACAGTCTGGCACTACCAACCGGGCTAGTAGTCGAGACGCGACATCACTAACTACGTCGGCTGGGCACCAGGCGCGACGAGCACTCTCAACGCGAACGCATTGAACAGGCGAACGGCGGCGGCTACTACCACGGGGCTTTCACAACGCACTCCTCGCTCGCTGCGCGGCTGACACTCTGCTCGTCCAATTGGCGCTGCTGTTCGCCGATAATGCAGGTCTATGAAATGGCCGACTTTCGCGCAGCGCGCAAGAGCACAACCGGCATGAGCACGTTCTCGCAAACGGACACAGAGCGACATCTATATATCTAATAAAGTGGCACTTCTTTAAGAAATTTTACACTTTTATTATACAACTTCGGTAGGTTGTGTTAAATCGGCAAAATAATACTTTTACACAGCAGTGACGAAATGTTTTATTATTTAAAATTGTCAAAATAGGGTCGTAGTCCTACACGTTAGTTTACGATTTTTGATTCGCTTCGTATTACTTTCGCAAATCATCTAGGAAAGCTTTTGCTGGTATTATAAAAAGTTTGGAAATTGTTATACAAGTTGTTTTACAAGACCTGCGGTATTATAAAATTTTGGCAGATAGGTTCGATCAAAATCGTCATTTGTAGAATGCACACTGCTGGATGGAACGCCGCCGCGCGGCGGTGTAAAAAGGTACTACATTTTCTATTCAGTCAAACCTCTTTAAAATACCAAATAATTCTGTTTAATTTAATTTATGTATGTACTAGATAGTGTTATGTATTTTGCTTGTATCGTAGTACTCATCTCCGTGTGTGTTAAAAGTACCAACAAGTAAGAGCGCGCTTTGACAACAGCGCCACCCAAAAACGACTACTATAATAAAACAAAAATTAATAACATTTATCACTTCAGTGCTTCAACTACGGACGTTATTTTAAAGCCATTATATCCATAAAATTAAGAATTAATTTCTAAAAGAATACAGTGTATTACAGTGTATACAGTGTATGAATACTAGTTGGAAACTGACTGTTGCATTTGCTTCAAAAACTACCTCATCAAATCTTACCGAATAACGAACGTATTGTTGCATCAATGCTTTAAATTGGGTAACTATGATTTCTGGCAATGTGTAAGTGTAAAAAGTAAGTAAGACACATATTTGTATTTGCGAGATATTGGTTACGCTGTGGGTGCACGAGCACCAGCTTATCGGAGTTTATCATCGAATCGTTTTACATTTCAAAACATTTGAAAATCATGCTAAAAATTTATTTACATTAAGCCCGCAATTACGACATTAATGGGTAAAAATTAGAGACACTTATTTAGAATACTCCAGATAATTGCGTATTTTTCCTACTGAAATACTCATACACTGGAATAAATTATAACTCATTTTTCAGACCAATCGGCTGCAAATTTAATTCAGCATCGATTGATATACCAACGTCTAGTTATCATAAAAAATTATAACAAAGCTTGCTTGTGTCACAGTTCATATACAGTGGAATTATGTTAATCTTGCATCATTCTGTTAAATTGAGAATAGCGTTAATTTCTCCATAATTACAACATACAATTCTGATATATATTCATAAACTACATAAAGAAACGAAGCTGAATTTAAAAAAAATGAACGTCCCAAGCATTTTAAATGTGATTATGTATTTCATAAGAAAAATATTTCTGTCGCTATCGCTTCGAAGCGGTCTCTGAATTAAAATGGTTTTGTTACTAAAAATGAATCATTAAGTAAATAATAATTAGAACAGCCAGTTAAAATTTCAGGGCACGGAATGTGCAAGTCATATAGAATATTGGATTTTCCTCTCTAGGATTTAAACAAATATACCAACTTCAAGGTTGGGCGCAATGTAATATTCAACCGTACAATTACAATGCTTGTTGTGCAGGAACTGCAGGAAACAGAACCTAGCAAGACATTAATCGATTTGAAAAAAAAAAACAAGTCTGAAGGTTTAACGAACTTAAATTCAAACTGAAAAGTATTTGATTTCGCCATGATTACTACATCGTTTTGTCTTAAATTAGACATCTTTCATTCGTAAGACATAGTCACTTCATTTCACTTATGTGTAATAACCACAGTCTCGCATAAAACTATTGTTTATTTGAATACATAATATTTGAAATTATAAAAAAACAATGACCATTTGCAACCATTAAAATGTAAAACTGTATTACAACTGTTGATGTACTCAGATTTTAGAATATATCTGCTATGTTGCGTTTAGTTATGTATCTGTAAGTATCTCGGATGGAATGACGCGAAATAAATTGTAACCTGATTTGTTCGTTATCTCAAACTTGCCATTAGAAATCAACGACTAATGGTATGATACAATATTATTTTATTTATGTTAATAGAGTTTATGTAATGGTAGTTGGTATTGTTTGAAGCAACTATTAAGTATCGATGGCAAGCACGCCACCTTCGTGCTGGCTAAGAATGTTACATTCATATGCCTAGGCTCTGTGCAGTATTAACCAAACCAAGTAGCAGTACTCGTAAGTACTTCTAAAAAGCCGCAGCTCGAGAGACAACAAGTCCCAACAAATTCCAACTGAATGTGCCCTTCTTTCATGTTTGTGACATTTCGGAATTAAAGAAAAAAAATTATACAATCAAAGTAAGTGTAATCAAATATAGGAAAGATTGGAAGTCAAACAGTAACTTAACTTAAGTTCGTAACAATTTCTGAGTTTAGTTATAATTGATGAATATTTAAACAAATTGAATCTGCGAGTAAATTATGGTATCGGAAATGTGTTTAAATGTTTTTACTTTAGAACTTTAGAAGTTCTGATAAAATATAAGTGAAATCTGTTGAGCTAAATTGAATTCAGCTTCCAACATTGTACTATTTTCAATTTACTTTACTAACGTTTATTTAAAAAGTGATGTCAAAGCTGAAGAATAAATTTTAATTACTATGCATACAATTTTTATTAGCACAAACATTGTGAAGATTTATATATATAAATATATATATATAACTACATATAAACATGAATAAATTTCAAACAAATAATCAGAAACAATAGCAGTAACATTTTAGTGAAGGGAGCACGTTCGTATCGGCAACGTTTAAATTATCAATTTCAGTGTGTCGACTCGTCGTTGTCCCCCTTTATCACTTTCCCATATTGCCTACATTCACTCCACTCCACCAAACATGCATGTAAGTCATACCTTACTCTAATTAATAGCATGCCTTAATTGTAAAACTCTACCCGTTAAACGATATCCAAATTACCAATATATAAGCTGCGATCAATCGAAATTCAAGGAAAGCCTTGATCGTTATGTTAATATTTTCATAGTTAAACAACGTTGCCTTCGAGCAATCTTTTTATCAAATTTATCATTCTGCTTTGGTAAAATTCTGGCATTTCTGTCTCGCGATTGGCATTCTATTTCGTAAAATAGTATCACATATTGTAAAAATGACTGAATAAATAGTTGTAACCAACGGTAACATGTAATCTTTCTTATGTGAACAATGACTTTTGGTTTGTTTTAAAATCTGTGATAGGACTCGTCGTTGAAGGAATTGTTCGCGACGATCCGAGTCTATGTTAAAATTGCGGATATAAAATAGTTACACGCCACCCAAACGTAACTTTTTATATGAAATTTTTTAATTCGTGCTTCGAATCGTCGTAAAAAATTACGACAACGAATTCTGCGTGGTAAAGCATGCGTGTGTGGAGTTGTGCTGAGTGATCGTCCTGCTAACATTCGATTTGCGCACACAAACCGACGCTTCAAATATTAATTTGCTTGCGTACCAGACGCACATGATTATTTGAAGTCACACATGCACGACAGAACAAAACCTAATAAATAATAAATTACCTATAAGAATTTACCTTTCTTTGTATAGCTAAATGTAGATTTGCAGTTTTTTCTAAAAATTAATTCGCGAGCAATTATCAACTTATCGTTTTCGCACTTTTTAGAGCTACTTGAGCTTTTTTGGTTGCCGCACGTAAATTTTACATATCCAACTAAATGTTTCTACAGACGTTACCATTTGTCGCGTGAGCTATAATTATTTTCGGTGGTCGGAGAAATGGATGCTTTCCGTTCGGCTCCTGGTGCTGGTGAAAAGGGATTATCCCTCTTGTTCAACTCTAAAACAATTATGTTACACGTATATTAAAGTTGACTCTAGTCAACAATAGACAGAAATTTTACCTGCTATGGCTAAGAGCATTCGCCGTCTGCAACCAAAAATGTTCACGCCCAGCGTTACCAAATCTTTATCGCTGATAGAAGCGAATGTCTCAAGGTCCACCTCATGCGAGTTGAAAAGCGAAATGTACTTTTCACATCCGATGGATGTAAGAAGTGTGGGTAAATCGGGCCACTTGCTACTCATTATCCGATTCATAACAAATCCGGGTGTGTATTCCATGCAATTCGAAGTGTTTAGCTTGGCCGGCGGGGATGGAAAGTCCTTCGATGGAGACTTCCACACCTCATCATTCTGATACGAATAAATGAATATAATTTTGAGGAGTAATAACATTGAAGTGGTACCTGTTCCGAAGTAGTATTTACTTTGTCGATCAACGGATTCGGACTGGTGTGGCTGATGCCATAACCGGCCCAGTTGCTATTGGGATATCTGAACTGATTTCCGCTGGGACGATTCTGCATAGCAAGAAAACCAGCCATTCGCTTCGATTCATACTCGCTAGGTTTGGCTTCCTGATCAACAGGATTTTTGTACTCGTTGAGATTTAAATTGACGAGGCCTTTTACGGATTCATTGTAATTGCGTTGGTAGTACGGTTGTTGTTTTCGAGGGCTCTGCGCTGGACTAGACTTATTGGAGAGCGAGCCGTTGCTAGAAATAGTAGAAAGCGAGTAGTTGTTGCCATCGCGGCTTTTTTCCAACGAAAGCGAACTGGCAGAGATCTGCCCAAGGGAATAGTAACCGCTGCTGCCCATAGAGTTCTGGTTCTGGCTGCTGGTGTTGGACTTATTGTTGAACGGAAACAGTGACTGTCCCATAGAAAAGCCCATGAACGGTTGAACAGATTGAGCTTGGTTAAACGAAGCAGGCGGGTATTGCCACGTTGGGGAAGTTAGGCAGGATGTTGAATGGGGTTGCATTGGAGTAGGTGTGAGGAGATCATGAGATCGCATGTGATAACTAGGCGGAATATCGGCTACAAAATTAGGCTCTTCAAGTTGAAGCACCATGTTGCGAGCTCGGTAAATATTAGCTAAGCACATTAATGAAATAAGCATAAATAAAGAATAATTAATTTTGAATGCAATAAACTCACTCGCATTGCGTTCGGCACCTTTAATAATGCAAACCATCGAATTTTGTTTGCCTTTGACTCTGAGATTAACGCTGACGTCACACTTGTTCTGAATCTCCATCAGTTTATCTGATTTGTAATTGGCTGGATTACCAGGCAGATCAAACATCAAAAGTATAGGCAATGATCCCTATGTGCCGGAAAGCAAAGCATGGTAAATGTAAATAAATTACTAAATTCAGCAATACTCACAGTTAAAATTTGGCGAGCAGCGTAAACGTTATGAATGTTACCCGTGATCGTAACGTTACTTTTTTTCAAAATTGGTATGTTGGGATCATGAGCATCTGGAAATAGGATTTTAGTACCAGTTTCTTGCATTATTTCCTTGAGATTTTGATGATTTGCTCCAATCACCATCGCGTGGTGTATTGGCGATATTTCCATTGTCATTTGAATCGGAATTTGACTCTAAAAGCAAATGTCTCAAGTTAGGAACAAAGAAATATATTAGAAGTTGTAGGATTCACCGCTAAATGCTCGCAAAGATATTCCACCAACAACATAGTGGCCTTTTTTACTTGATCGATTTCCCATTCGACGCCCTTCACCAGCACTAAAGTGGCATGCAGTTTTGGCCTTGTCCTCAGTATCATCTGCACCCCGTATTGCTCCTGGATTTTAACCAGATAGCTTTCAGTGGGATCTACGTTTTGCGACATGATTGGCAGCTCAAAGCCAAAAATAGCTGGAGTTTTTTGCTGAAAGAATCAAAAGACAAGATACTCTAGTTTGAACACTTAGAACACAACAAGAACTTACCCTAACACGAGATCTGGCCAATTCAACACCTTGTATATCTCCAGCAATAGACACCTGATTTGATTTCTCGTTTGGATTGGAACGATTTGAGTCCGGAAAATGAACGTGGCACTGGGTCTCTTCCATCACGCGACGAATGCTGAGTCCTCCCTTGCCAATAATATGCGAGTGGTCAGTATAGCTGACGTCCATTTTCATTGTTACACGGTTACTCTATTGCAAAAATGAACTAGTTATATACATATTGCTTGAGTAGGGTTGAAACTGGCATACTCTATTGTCCAATACAGTCATGATGCGTTCCTTGGCGGCCAACACGTCATCTTCTCGCCCTGCAATCCTTACGCGAGGATCTTTCTTGGACTTGGCTCCTATTTTCAATTTTTTCGGCCATGTTATGAATGTATTAGTGTCCGCCATTATCTACACAGAAAAAATGTCCACAATTTATTTAAAAATTAAGATCAATTTAAAAAAGTTTTACCTGCTCAAAAAATATATCAGCCGGCAGTGGTGCCTCATTGTCACCTGGTAAACAAAGCAAGGCATTGAAAGATGATAAGTTTTCGAAAATCATTAATTGTATCAAAACGATTAAGCATTGCATACATACCGCTGAGCATTTGCTCCAATTGTCCGCGATCAACGAGGAAACGGTCCTTGTATAACTCTGTGGTGTCCTTCAGACCGATCTTGGTAGCGAAGTCCCGCAAATCCTCCCGTGAGTCCCAGCTGGAGGTCCATCCAGAGTTGGTGGTACCCGATTCAGATACTTCGGATTGCGTATCAGAGCCACGCATATCAGTTGCACGCGGTTGCAAAAAATTGTACGACATTTTTGCAGATGGCGAGCCGCGACCTTAGGCGACCAAGCACGTCGTAAGTAGAGGTATCGCAAGAAGCGACCTGTGTGTTCCGGGATTGAGCTGGGTTACGAAACGGCACCAGCGAGCATTTGCCAAATTGTTCAGCCACGCTTTTTTCTCTCGGGATGGTGACCGCTCGACGATTCGCTTTAATGATGGCGTCCTATGTTCGTGTGCAGCGTGGCTTGTTGACTTTTTTACGAACCCGCGGTGACTGAACGATTGCTCGAGGCAAATGCAACTATACGCAGAAACTCTCGCCATCCGTCCGCTGAAATTATCGCCTCGCAGTGGTCTTTATCAATCCGAATTGAAAGACTTTCAGAGGACATAGTAATGGCGCAGAATTCAAACATTTTCAGTAATAATAGTAATAATTTTTATAATGTAATTTTTGGCCCGGTAACTGTTTAGACTTTCTTTGTAATAGAAGAAACGCATAAAAGAAAAATAATTGACACCGCAATTAAACTTTATCTTTGTATCATCTTAAAACATATTATTAATAAAAATGTATACTTGGTACAACCGTAGCAGTAAGCATAAAAGTTAGCAACTTAAAAAATAAGTGTCATCATTTTTTTGCGTGTGCTGGAGACTGTATTTGCATTAAACACACGAAATGTAATTACAGATAATATTTCATGACTTCTACTGATTTTCAGTCTTGCTTCGCACACGTTATTAACATCAAAGTAGGTGAATCAAACCGGTTCTTTAAATTCGACTTCACTACGTTTCCTTCGCAAGAGTTTTACGCTACATTTGATCACTTCTGTGTAACCTTGGCGAAGAACCAACAACCTACAACAGCGAACAGCGTATTTTTATTCATTGTTTGTTTCATCAAAATGAAATCCAGCACAGTAGTACTTCATGAATTCCATACTTTCGATGGAATTGGGGTAAGAAAACGTCATTTACAAATGAATATTATTTTCACCTGCATTTGCGTCGACAGATTGAAGACCGTGACCTACAGGACCTTGAGGAAGACATGGTCGAAGTTAAAGTACACTATTGTGGAATTAATTTTGCGGATTTCTATACGATTCATAAGTTAGCAAGCGATCAGCTACCAGCTGTTTTAGGGATTGAATGTTCTGGAGTAATAACAAATGTTGGGAGCAGCTCGGTTCCTTTCAAAGTGAGTGGAAACTAAAAGAGCTGAAAACTTATGTATTAAATTGATATTGTTTCAGGTAGGAGATAGGGTTATTTGTTATGATTTCAAGGGTGGATTACATCGATCCATTGTGCGAATAAAGCACGAGAAGTGCTACGCGGTACCGGAAAACATTGATCTAAAAACTGCAGCGTCGATTTTCGTAAATTACCTAACCGCTTGGTGTGCGCTCTTCTCTCTTGGAAACATAAAAGATGGCGAGTCCGTCTTTGTCTCATCATGTGGAGGTAATCAAGTCTTTATTTAGCAAATTATGGCGAATATCATATTTTAATTACTCATTTCTCGCAATCAATACGAACACTCTGGTCACACAAAGGAATATCACATCTTGTGTGATAAATGAAATTATTAGCTTAAGAGGTTTCTGATTACGCATTTAATTCAGCATTAAACTGCTTGCGTATGTCTTGTTAATATAGCAGGAGAAAGAAAATAACAATCAAAATTCTCAAAACTTTATTATTAGACTTTAAAAAAACTTTGATTCACAAAATTACTACCTAATCATATTGATAAAAGTGTGGTACTCTAAATTCAAATTTTGAAACATTATCCTATCTTCCATATACATAATTTCTTATGTTTGGTCAATTTCAGGAGGTGTTGGTTTGGCCATAATAGAACTTGTAAAGTCAAAGAAAGATGTTACGATTTACGGCACTGCATCGTCTGCAAAACGAAACTTTCTTGAAAGCAAAGGAGTGCATTTCGTCGAGTACTCTGAAGTTGCCGCTCTAGAAGAAAATTTTGATTTGATCATCGAATCAATGAATACTGAAACCAGAAAAGTCCTAACAACAAAATTAAACCCATTCGGACGAGTTGTTATCATTGGTGCTAAAGGTATGATCCCCGGATCCAATGCAGCGGAAACAAGCGCTGACCCGAACATTAACCCAGTGGATTTAATTTACGGAAACACTGCGATTGCCGGCTTGCACATTGGACTCCTGGCCGACAATTATCCCCAATTAACACGCATTGCCCTGAACTCGATATTTACTCAACTAACGCCCGAAAATCTTGAAATTAAAATTTACCCTTTCAACGACGCCAAACGCGCCTATAAAGAGTTGGCCAACCGCACCAACATCGGCAAAATAATCTTGCAAATTTGAGTGCATGTGTAAACTATTAAACTATTAAATTGTTAATTTACCATTGTGTGCGTCAGAAAGACACAAACAGTGATGTGACATTTTCAAATCGATCCACTGTGTCCGTTGCAAAAATATGATACAAATATAAACTAAATCATAATTTTGGTGAGTTATAAAATGAGTCAAAACCCGTTGTTAGGCAATAGACAAATCATGCACAAGTTTCGTGCGCGCTTCATTTAAGAGTCGTAATACTAACGAACGATTATCGTTTAGTTCTTGTTCGCCGCGTTGAGAATTATCGATGTGATGTAGTTGGGATCGTCGTGTGTGTCGCCCACCCACCACATGCACAGCGCATTCTCGTGGACGCTATTGCTACGGGCATGTTGCAGAGGGTCTTGAGTGTGATGTTGTCCGCTCGCCGTCGCCAGGACCGGCTTGAAGGGATGGAAACTGACACCATTCACACAGTCGGTATGTAGCGGCAACTGTAAATAAGTTTAAAATAGTAATTTCACTATTGCAAGCATAGCGCGGCTGCACACATACCTGCACATGTGTAGTTGGTACAGTTTGTTGCTCGACGTTCCAAACCTGCACCTTACCGTCGGTGCCGCCGGAGGCAAGCCATTTGTCACAGCTAGATACGTCCAGGGTGATTTTCTGGTTGGTGTTCGCCTCGCGTGGCAACGAGAACAACGGTCGGCCTGGCACCTAAAAGAACAAACACCATGAATTTACTCCGATCGCTACGCGTCGCTCTCATATTTCCTTATAGACGTGGCGGGTTGATAGAAGTTTTTGATTGTCTTACACGTAGATCCCAGCAGATAACCTCCTTGTCCTTGCGACCGCCACTGTAGAGGCGCGTACCGCATCGCGAGAACGCCATGGTTGTGACGCCGCCTTTGTGCCCTTGCAACTTACACAGGTGTCGGAAGGAGCCGTCACTCTGGCTGACCAGCTCAATTGTGTTTTTCCATGTACCTAGAAAGATTCGCACAAACAAATATAAGTATTAAGATACTTTACCAAGTTAGATAGCAGTTTATTTACCTATCGCAACAACCCCCGGCTGCGCCAAGCTGGCAACGACGCACGATGCGGGATGGGTGACCGGATATTCAACGCACTGCCGGCCAGGCCGACTCGTACTAAAAATTTTAATATTCTTCTTATAACCACAAAAGATATTTTGACCGTCAGCTGAAAACGTTACGCTAATTGCAGCTTCCAGTTCATCTAGATTGTTATAACCCCTGTATGAACAACGCAGTTCGCCGCTAAACGCGTCCCACAGGTGTATTGGACCTTCATGCCCAGATGCTGCCCAGCTAAAAACAACAGAAATTTATGCCAATCCTCATTTAATCATTGTGTCAACATATTTAAAAAACACAAGCTTTGCCTGCAAGCATGAACAACAGAAGTCTGTTTATTTTGAATGCATGATCAGACCTTCCCGGGTAAACATTGTAATTGTTATACAAAAAGAAACATACCAGCAAGTGGCAGGGGAGCTGCTATTCATTCCTGGATACCAACAATAATCATAAATCAAACCGCTCTCAGGCACAGTGATGGCAGGAGTCATGGGCATAGTTTGTCTGCTAGTCGCAATTGCATCCACATTATATAAATCAGTCGGCAGTTCGAAGACGTGGGTGCCAGCACCACGTACAACCGCCAGCAGGCATGTGCCGTCCGGCGACCACTTGCAGGATCGCAGATAATGCTGGTCGTCGTAGTTGGGCCACTGTGCACGAGCCAGCTCGACGCTAACGTGCTCGAAGTTATAGTTGGCGCATTGCACATAGTGGCTGCCTAGCAATCCGCTCATATTGTAGTCAATCGGCGCGCCGACCACCGTCGCCTCGTCGTAGATCACCGGTGACTCCATCATTGCGTGGAGCGTTCTTCACCACCTTTGCACACGGGTGCTCGATAACACTATTCGCGGACCTATCTTAACCTAAAGACGGACAAATATCGACTAGCGATCACGCCAGCAATCGTCCAGGCACAATAAAAGCTTTCGATGCCATGTTCGCGATACTGTATTTCCCTCTCCCTTTTGAATCACTGACGTTTCACTTGGCGACGCGTGCGCGTTCCCATAGCAAACATTGTTTGTATAGTTGCTGTATTTGATCGGTTTTCAAAATATTGAAGTACCTAATTTAAAGCCGTAACAGAGAGAATAAATTTCCCTGCTGTAATATATTTGCTAACATTGAACTTTTCCGTAGAAACAAAAAAAAAAACTAGCATTAAATCTTAGTCTTCTGCGTTCGTCAAATTGCCATTTGTAATTCATGAATAGCAATCAATAATAAAGTCATCATCTAACATATTAATGATTGAATGATGATAAGTTCCTGCAGCGGTAATAAAAATCCGATCATTAACAATCACATCATTTTCGATCAGTTTGATTGGCAACCACAACAGTCTGAAACTCAATTATTTTGACAATTTTCAACATCAACACTTTGTTTGCAAGAGCGTTACAAATCATGCAATCCTGCGAGAAACGAATATATTGTGATTTTGATTGCGATGATTACAGACCGAATGCCAAACCCACTTCAATTGAGATTGCAATTCGGCGTTATTTTTAATCCGACATATACACCGAATATATTCCGTTTTTTTTTTTCATCAAAGTGAATGACGTATTGAAACTAGAGAACAAAATAATAAATGTTTAACAAAACCGTCGGCGTTTTCATGGCATGGCAATATCGATTGATGTTTACAATTATTCCAAAGATACTGCTGGTATGCCTGTGTTTACATTCCTTGTATCATCTACGTAGACTACATATTACATATATTATTAGTACGTGATTCTTATATTTAAAAATTAATACTTCTTGTCAACGAATGATTGAAAACTAGAAAACACCCGCTGAACCGTATGATGAAAAATTACATATTCATTACATTCACCTAATTTTCCTGGTTCTACATGAAATTTAATTTAATGTAAATTAGTACAGAATTGAGCTTACCCACTCTTTTTATGTATTAGTAAATTGGTGCCCAGTTTCGTGTCAATTTCGATCAAATTACATCTCCTGTATTTGATTGCAACAAACAATTCAAACAATGCAAAGAATGGACTAATCGGTTGGTTGATTATGGCATACTGTCTCAATTTCCCCACAAAAAGTGCGGATTATACAAAATCCGTTAACAGCCGTGGGACTAATATAAATTAGGAGAAATTATGACGTGTTAGCATATTTGCAATTAGTGTCCATGCTTAACTGGTCTGTACGCCTGTATCCGACGATTTGGTCACCAGTATTGCATAGCTAAAAATGGACAGGTAACGTAGAGATAGAAATAACAAAAGTAAATAATCCATACAACCAGCTCAATAATAATTAGTAGTAATTTATTACATTCTCCGTGAATATAACGAATCACCACATTAGATTCTTTGCTTGCTCTGCCCTCTTGCGTTTTTTTCGGCATACAGAAGACATGAGGCATGATTGAGATCAGCTGACTGGTTTGCTAGATTTGATTTCTGAAAAATAATCGAAATGAACGAAAGAAAATCTACCCAAATCTGCCAATGTTTACGTTAAATAATAGACTCAAACAAAACACGAACCCATAACGAAGCGGATCTCGTGCAAATTCGGTTATATTCGATATTTTTTAGTTTTAAACAAATCTGTGAATCTATTCAGTTTGATTTTTAAGTAGTTTTTGAATATAATATTTAATTAATTAATTGTGATGTATACACAATTTCTTCTTGCCGTATTATAAAATGAACTGAAGCCCTTCCCCGCCATAAAACATTACTAAAATAAAACTTAATTAGAGGGCAGCACTACATGAATTTTCCAAAAGTATTTGTAAACAACTTCTCTTATGGTAAACTGTTGAAAGAAAGTGGATTTTTACTCCGTGATGGATATATTTTAGTTTTCTAAGGATTGCAGAGAAGCGTCGTTAACAGAACAAGAAAATCGGATACGATCGGAGAAAGTCGGACAGCAGGACTACAAGGAACGATCCTGTTGTAGGCAGTACTGTAAGCGCTGTAGGTGTGCGCAACAATCGTCGATCGTCGCCGTGCGTCGCATCCCGCCTCAGTCAGTAACAGGCGTTCCAAGATGGAAGGGCTCGGTGCGTACGGTGGCGGCAAGGCTGGCGGCGCATTCGATCCAATAACGTTCGTGCAGCGGCCCCAAGTGATCCTCCGAGCCGTCTGCTGGGTGAGCATCCATCACGAATTCGGTGGACGCGCTGCCCATCAGCAGCGCGTACCAGCTAAACCGTACACTTTCCGTTTTGAATTATCGATTGCATTGTGGGGTAGGGATGTGCGGCGACGCTAAAAAATTCGAACTCGATCGATTCGTGGGGTCTGACCAGCAACACGACGACGTCCTCGGACGCGCCAAACGCGCGCATCTGAACGTTTTCGTGCTTTTCGACCTGACTCCAAGGCAAATGGTTGGCCTTAATTAAAAACAATTGCCCCCTTCGATCGTCCACACACGCATACAAGCTTCAATCTTACCGCACATTATTGATTTATTATTAACAACACTTTGAAGTGCATTGCGAGGTCTCATACTTTTGTCGTTCATGCTTGCAGCTATTCTCGATCATTGTCTTCGGCTGCATATCCTCGCAAGGCTGGCAGCTGAACCCGACAACCAACAAGGAGGTCTGCCTATACAACGGCGACGCTAATGCATGCAACTATGGTGTGGGCATCAGCGTGATTGCCTTCCTCGCTAGCATGGGTTTCATCGCCGGGGAGTATCTCTTCGAACAAATGTCCTCGGTGAAGACACGCAAGCACTACGTGCTTGGCGACATGGGCTTCTCAGGTAACGAGTGCCGCCCAGTGGCCGCGCTTTCCAGCACAATGCTATACTTTTGACTCATTGTTGTAGGATTTTGGGCTTTCTTATACTTTGTTGGATTTTGGTATTTGGCTAGTCAATGGGGCAAGGCACCCGCGCCTATCGGCGGATACGGCGTCAATAACGTCCAGGCAGCTATCGCTTTCTCTTTTTTTTCAATTTTCACCTGGGTAAATTTCTCGACACTTTACTACCACGTAAGTTGTGCCAGAGATGGGTGTTAATGAGCGGTCGGTGTTTGTTTAGGCCGGCTGTGCCTTGCTGGCGTTCCAACGATTTCGACTCGGCCATGACTCCGCATTTGCTACGAACTTCGAGACAGACACCTCGATGCCAACTGCGTACCCTTCGTACCCCGGGGGGCCGGACGACAACCAGTACCAGGAGCCGCCATTTTCCGGCGGCGGCGGCGGTGGTGGCGGCATGAATCAGCGTGCTGCTGGGGACTTCTCGGCGCCGTCGTACTAAGCAGCGCAGCGAACACGTAATGTAACAAAGAAACAACTGCCTCAATACCTGATTTTAATTGGTCTTTAAACGGGAACCATCACACGTTCGAAACAACCACTAAAACAACACCATTCCTTTCTTTTCGTGTGTTCGCGGGAGCGATGGTTTCGTTTCATGCATGCATCCCGCATAATTGTTGAGAGTATAACTTTATTGATGTACAGCTACACATTAACCAGATGAACGATATAAATATAGATACATGTATATTTCCGGCATTCGGACCTGTCTCGCGAAAGTGCGATGAATGCCAAATTCTGCATTCATGTCCACTGATGATATTACGAGGCAGGCTCAAACTAGAACTTTCGATACGGAAATTCTCCGAGCAGCATGCAATCGATTAAATTTATCATCGCCAAGCTTACCCGTAGACAAAATTGCAGCAGACGCATTAACAGCCTATACTAAGTAGAAAAGCGTAGAAATCGTGACCACCAAGGGGTCGTGACAAAAGCGCGTATGTTTTGCGTTTATTTCTCGTCCGCGTTCTTTTATTTCTGCAGCACTGCAGCAATCGATGTACGCGCCGTGGAAATCTTGATACTCTTAGTGCTTGCAATAATCATTTACAAACATTTGTTGATTGCATCGAGTTAATGTATGCACACGGATCCGTCGTTTGTTTATTATGTGATTACTTTATTGAATATTTGAGACTATTTTAATTGTGATATGTTAACCAAAATAGAAACTACTTACTCGTAGAATGGGAACAAACGTAAATTGATCTGTTTTTGTTTATTATTGTATTCGACGTAGGAATGAGTAGGTTTATTCTGTGCTAGTCTACAATCGGCTCAATATTTGGGGTCTAGTTGCATTTTATTCGAAGCTCGATTTCATGTTAGTGCCACGATAATTGTGAACGTAATACTATTGGTTAACGGGAATCATGTTAATGATGAAACAAATGCAAAAATGATGAAATGCTTTAATCCCTATGGCAAATACTAAAGCATATTCTCTTAAAATGTATTATATATTAGATGCAAAAAGAAAATGGAGTAAAATATATTGTGCTAGCTAACTAAATGATTATTACTAGAGGTGAAGCTGAAATTCAGCGTACGGCCGGCACTGGTCGCGAAGAGGATACCAAATGTAATAATGTATTATGTAACAATACAATGTAGGAACAATAATGTCGACGCCCCCTCCCCAAGTTTGAGTGTTTATTTAGTCGATGCATTACCCATTAGCAATAACAGTTCTTGAAGATAAGCATTGATATTATTGATTGACGAGTCTGTCTGTAGGCGTATTTTTTCGAGCATTTAGCGAATTTTAATGAAAACTTGTACAGTACTCACGGTACTTAAATGTTATTCAAGACTAGTTAAGACGCCGTCACGAAATCAAGCAACGTAGTCGCCTACATTTGGAGAAGTACGCACGACCGTTATATGCAAGAATCAAACGCAAAAAAAGCAGCAATGGTTGGATCAGCGAAAGCAATGTATTTAGTTCTACTACACTTGACGAAGGTTGAAAACCACGCAAGGCATCATTGTAAACGAAAAGACTTCTTCAGATATTTGCGCCAACACACGCAACGCAAATGAATATCATCAGAATATGTATCAATCTGAGAAACGTAATATCACTACGACGGTTTCGATGCGGATGGCCATTCGAACACACACAATACAAAATGATAACATTTACAACCATGAAGGGATACTTTTCGAATTGTATTTTGTATGATAGTATTCTATTGTATTGAATGTACTACATATTATAGTATACAAAGAGGGTGTGAGGAACGCATACACGCAACTTACAAACAAAACGACAACCAAGCTAAATTTACACCAGTTCACAGTTAATGCTGTACCGATATCCGCATGGAGGACATAGTACGACGTGACACTGAATTGTAACTAAACAAACAGAAATTTATGAAGATATATTGTATTAATGAGATGTAAGGGGATGTGTATAAGTTACCAATAAATGTTAATCAGTAAATTACTTCTTGTTGACAACTCTTTCATGCATTCTATGGTTCTATAGAGTATTGAGCCAACTATCGTTTACTCATCAACGAATTGACTTTATTATCATACTGCAGTAAACATTAATCATGCTCACCCAACACACAAGTTGGTATAAAAAGTCTACTACATTCGTTGCTACAATTATAGTATTTTGTTTGTTTGTCTTTTTGTCTGACAATGCAGTGGATACCATTTCAGATTATTTCGAACTGATGGAGTGATGTAAGAGTAGTGCAGAAGAAAATTACTGTATCACAGTAATCCAATATGTGATTATTGCAAAATCCGTGCGAAATAATGTTCGTTTAAAGTTTCTACCGTGTAATCTGGCGCGGCCAAGAGCACTCGGAGTTCCTGAATGCAGCAACATGCTTCTCATGTTTCGATTCTTGTAATTAGACTAACTCAGTAAGATATAATGAGGTAGCTGGAGATGCGGTTTTCAAATAGAGGTAACAATTATATGCATGAAATAATACGCTCAAACTTTAAAATAAAAGAAAAACATAATGGTACATGGAATTTGAAAAGAAAAACACGTTTTTCTTAAAAGTTCCGGCTCAAGATTTCGAACAATATATTTGTTTCGACGCGTTCGCCTTATTCTCAGTTTTAAATTTCGCTACATGAAAAGAAAATCCTAGATTATTAAAAATGAAACACTAGTTGCATACTACCTGGAGAAGCGAGGACAAACTTGACTTTCAAAGTTAAAAAATACTCCGAGATATCGGCAATTTGCCTTTTCCAGTATATTTCAATATCATTTACAGTAATTAATTTCTTGCATGACGGTGACCTGTTGAAATTGTTTGGTTCAAATGAAATAATTAAACATAGCACAAGTATACATCTGTTGTAACACAACGAGAACAATACATAGTGCACAACTCACAAACAGTCTGCTATCTACTTCACGGATAACCAACGTCGAATTACAAAGTCATAAGTATATTTGTGTACATACACGTCTTTTCTCATATTAACAATTATTTAAAAAAAAAATCATTTAAAATATGTTAGATTATAATAGGTATAAATAATTCTTTTAACATCTTTACTAACGTTAATATCGCGTCCTAAAATAGATATATTTTCTCTTCGTTCAATGGTTCAGTTCCGATAGTTCTCATGATAACTCTATTAGATTAAAGTGAAATCGAAGGAATCACATTCACATCGTAATCATATTTACATCCAAATCATCTTCTAAGCATTAACAATGTACAGTAAATTCTCAAACTTAATATACATTTAGTAATAAAGAAACACATGTTATTTCTTTCTTGAAATAACGCTCTAAAACCACTCTCTGGAATCGTTCGTAATTGAATAGGTCTTAATCCTTCCGTTTAATTAACATTTTGTACTAAACATTTACATACTAACATTTGCCTAAACTTGAAGATTCAGAAGATATATGTATGTATGTTTCTCTGAAGGTACTTTTCTCATATACGTATTTGTTAAAATTGGTGTTTGCGGGATGACGTTGTTTTGAATAATACAAGCGAGTAACAATATGGACGAAATTCAGCACTCATCACACGGGGCTCGCAGTGGACTCGCAAATCAACGGGCAAAACTGTTCTTGGTCCAATAGGAAATCAACAGTGTGGGAAATGCGTTTCAAATAGTATTTAGATGATAGCGGAATGCTTCGTACTGTGTTCAAGAGCAGCGAGCACGTCCTGTTTCATACGCACGTATAGTCTACCCTTCTTCCACGGGTTCTGCAACTGTAGAGGGCGGAAGTCATCGCGCAGACAACGCTCGCGTGCTCCGATCACAGCCACCAAGCAAAAGTTTTTAAACTTGTCAGCAGGATAAATTGGTCCTTCTTTGCCTTTCAATACAACCGCCATGTTCAACTGCTTTACCACGAGATCAACCACTTCACGCGCCGTGGTCTTAGGAGTGACGTGCAATTTGAGGCTGGTGCCACTCGCCAGTCCAGTCTCGTAAGCGGCGTACACCTGTAATATTCCGGGCCCCATCTCCTTGGCGTGGCCGGGAGGCGGCATCTGTGGAAGTTGTGGCACTTTGAAAGCGCCCTGTTCGGATATGTTTGTCATGCTCTTGGATAGGCCCTCCATGTTGAGGTTACGACGTGCCATCTTGTCACCATTGGAGCGGCTGCACTCACTGGGGTTTTGTTTAACGCTGGTAAGGCTCCGTGATGGAGGAATTTTTGATCGGTAGCGCTGCGAATTCGGCGTGCTAGAGTTAAGCGGCTGCGAGAAATTGCTGTCACTTTCGGAGCTCAGACTGTGCATGCTGTCTTTATTCATCGTATTCACGCTAAGCAGGCTGCCGGTGTAAATAGGACGGTGGATCAATGGGCTAGCGGTGGACATTGAAGGGACGGCAAACAGCATGTCCTCGCTTCGCGACGGTACCAGGCATTCGTTGTACAGCTCACCGCTTGTGAAACTTTCCGAATTTTTACGCGACTCTTCATCGCTGCAAGAGTTATTGCACAGTTGCTGTTCGCTTTTGCTGAACTCGTTACTCATCAGCGAAGTCTGATGGCCGGATGATGCTGGTCCAGGCCAACTGCCTCTTCCCGGCGAGCTCTTTACAGTCTTAGGAGGAATCTGGAGCAGAGAGCATTTGGGACTGGCATTGGCGCTGCCTTGATCCAAGAGATGTCGTAGCAGGACACCATCACTGTTTTTATCTCGAGCGAACGCAATTACGTCCATCAACCAACGCACACATCGCCACACCGAGTTAAGCTTAGTTTGCAACTCTTGCAGCTTTTGCACCTTCTCCTTTGCAGCAGCTACCTCGGAATTGCTGAAAGCTTCCCGATGCAGGTGATTAGCAGCTGCTGCATCCAATTCGAGCACGCAACTTAGTTTGCTATACCGTTGGATGATACTGCTATGGTAAGTATTTAAGTGAATCATCTCGAAGACTTGCAGGGGTAGACTGAGTAAATCTCCCCGTTGGAGTAGAATTTCACGCTGGCCGGGCACGGAGCAAGAAAACTCGACCGACGGACATATCACCAAAAAGCTGACGTCAGGTGTAAGATCGATTATCTCGGAATCATACAGTCTGTGAGTAGCTGTGTCCTCGGAACTAATATCCATGTAGTTAAAAAGTCTCTTGGCCGCGCTAGTGACGAGTTCCAGAAAAGTGCGTTGTTGCTCTGTAGCGTGCTCGAGTTTGTCTGGCATGTTTTGATTTTTCAGGTAACTCCACTCCTCCGCAGACACATGCGCGTTGTCTCGGATTTTGCAATGTGGTAACATGTTTGGATTTTTCATGGAGACGACAACCTGAATTAGATCCACCGAGCTCTGCATCTTTAGATATGCCAAATACAATCCCCGATTCAGTTTTAAGGACGAGACTTGATGGTAATTAATCTGCTCCTGAATGGACGCCATGAGAAGATCAAAAATGTTGTGCTCGTCGCTTAGTACGCACTTGTTCTTCACCTTGCTCATAGGCAGCCAGCGCGAATTCAGCACGGAGACGTTTTTCGGCGACTTGATATAGTTAATTGTGCTCAATACAAGCGTCCCCTGCCTATCTTTCACGGGTTTGTAGTATAGCTGTCCCAGATCCTGTAAGCACAGCGCCGACTGCATCTGCAATGCCGCCGAGAGCAGTTTCGTCCGGAAATGTACCGCTGGGGACGCGTGCCGTTCCATATCAGCTCGCAGCGACTTCGTGTCGTCCCAATTGCAGGTCACCTTCATGAACCAGTGCAAATCGTTATTTATACAACTAGGAAATGTCTCATCTATTTCTATCACAGGCAGAAAGTCTTCGTTCGTAACTAATACTTTGTCTTCGTGGTACAGAATGCAGGCCAGGTAGATACCACGCCGCAAGTGCTTCTGGAATTTGCTGGCGGCTGTGAACAGCTGCTTAATGGTTGTCTTCTTCTTTTGGCCGCGACGTTGCGGAGCTTGATTCTCCAACATTTCGCTGCCTGGACGTTCGCTACGCACCTCATCAATGAGTGCGTCGAGATCCTTCAGTTTTCCTATAAAGCGATCCGCTTTCTCGTCCACCTCATGCCAGGTGGATGGTACCACGGAGGCCGGCGTGGAGGTAAGATATCCGCCATAGCCCTTCAAATTTCCACAACATGCGCGAAAGAAGTAGCGTCTACCCTGCGTTAGGTCGATGTGGCACGACGGTTTCGACATATCCAGAATCTCCGCTTCCCCAGTTATAGGGTTGAAGTCGGCGCGAGTAGACCATTGCACTGTAATTAAACGCGTCTTAGCCGTGAACGTTATTATGCAAGTATTTCGTCACCTACCTTTGAATTTCGTCGTGATGGGTGAGTCATGATTAGTAGGCTCTTGCAGTCTTAACGCCACCGAGTTGGTGCCCGTGATGTCGACGGTGACCAGCGACGGCGGGTCAGGCGGACGCGCCTGATTAAAGCCCAGCACTAAGCGCTTTAAAGTCTTAGCCCGCCGGCCCCACGCGACCGCCTGCTTCTCGTTATCGCCGCCCGCGCATCCTGCAACACAATCCAACAAAATGAACGGCTGCACATACGCACACACGAGACTCCGGCTGTCCTTAGCGGCAGCCTACGTCCGCAAACCGATCTTGGACTTACCTGTCATTGCCGACGAAGGATAAGCGTTTCCTATTATGCTTGAAAAGGACGCTCTCGTATTCACTGAAGCGGTACAGTCGTCGAACAGCCCGCCAAATTCTTGAAGGCGCATTTCAGCCTCGCTTAGAAGCTGCTTCAAGTGTGTGCCCAACTTATCTGCGCTCACGTCTAAAACATTGACGAGAAAAACGCAATTTAAAGCAAGAGAAAAATCGATCACAACCGTATAGTAACGCGTTCGTCTAAATATTCAAATTAAGATAATCAACCTGACATCACTGCCTCCTTAATACTATCTGTTATCGATTAGATAAGAACATTATTCATGCTCAATATAGCATGATCGCATTGAGGTTTCATGATTAATCGTCAATGACAATTACATCATAACGAAATGCGTATGTAGCTCGATAACAGATTAAGTAATTAGAAAAGAAAATTAAAACAAAGCGCTGCATGTAGTTTCGACGTTGCGTTGCGCGTAAAATGCAAATCGCTTTTTTGTATCGCCCGCTGAATATTAAATAAAGTTTGCGAAACAATTCTCCGAGCGAGCGTGGTATTTAGGTTGGCTGGACGAGAAAAGACGTTGCTGTTGTTGCCTTTAATCAGTTTGGCTCGCGAGGAAAAGTCGGTTGGCAAATTAATTACAAAATACAATAGAAATCTAATTAGACGCGTTTGCGAGGCCGCGGAGTGTGAGGATTTGCGTCGGCGACGACGCGAAATTGGATTGATCGAAGCCACAAAACGCGTTTATTAATAACGTAAAATTCGATATTTCGAATATTTTACGCGAAGCTTCCGTAAGGGATCACAGCTGCTGGGAATGAAAACCTCACTTACATTGACTATTTTCCTTCGCACCAAAATTTATCAGCATTTTGACTAACGAACGGTTGTTGTTCAGGACTGCGACGTCCAAGGCCGACAGCCCGTCGCTGTTGACGCTGAAACAGAGAAGAAAAATGCGATTTGTGTTATTTTCCGACAAGGAAATGACACCCAGCGTCAGGCGATGATAAGTCGGCTCGGGCGCGCTGGGTGGCTGCAGGAAGCGGTCGTCCCCGGATGCGGCGCTAAGTCTCCGGGCGTTGTTGGCGATAATTTATGTGGCATCGCTTCATTAAAGCGCGCGTTCTCGCCGCCACCGTCGCCGCCGCGCTATTTAAAATGCAAATTGCGAGCAACGTGTGGGCAACACTTACCAATTAACATCCACGTCGGTGGACTCCAGTATTGTGCGTGCCTTCTCCATGTGGCCGTGTTCGATGGCGGCGAAGAGTGCTGCGAACAAACATGTCACATAAATAAAGTGGTGCACGACGGCCAGGACCCATCATTAAATAATTTCGTAATTACTGGCTATTCAACGTGCTCGCGCACCGGAATCAATTGCTTGCTCCGCCGCGAGAGGTTGACAACCGGGCGCAGTTTTTGTTCCTGTTTACAACCCCGTAACAATTTCATTATAATTATGCGCAAACACGGACACGAAGAAAAACGCAAGCGCGAGAAGTGAAATTACCATGTAAATGTACGTTGTCCTTTGCATGGCGTTCACGCTGCTGCTGGATTAATTTCGCCTGTTTCTTGGACGGCTTCGTTTGATTGTTATTGTTGTTGGCGCGGTCGGAATGACCGAAGGGCGGGCGCCCCCCGACCAATTCCATCTCACCTTCACTGGAGAGCGTTGCCAACTCTTTTTACGGGTAACAAAAGAAACATGAAAAAAAGAACAAAGAAAAAACAAAATAAATGAGTGCAAAAACTGAGCATCAAAATAAGCAAATAAAAACGTTCAGTGTGCATATAAAAAACAATAATAACATAACAAGCAAAACATAATTATCTCGATACAGCGCGCGCCGTTTTTCACCTGTAGCAGGCGCGTCGAATAATATATATTAGTACGAGAATTTAATTTTCGGCGACGCTGAGCTATTCGCGCTTCCACGTCGGAATCCGCTTCTAATCAAACAGCAATTTACGCACTCCCATCCCGGTTTGTCCAGTCTATTTGGTTTACCAGGACGTTATTAACTAAAATTGAGATTGGAAATTTGAGTTTGTAAGTTGATTGGAAATTACAGTGTCCGCGCGCGTCAGCAGTCCGACCAACAGTCCCCAAACGTTTGCGGCGGCTACGAAAAATGTCACCGAATGGACTTCACGCCCTACAATTCGCTGCGCCATTAACTAGTTTTGTTTTGGCTCCGGCGCCCCCGTCCGGGAAATGCGCTCACTCGACAGCCCGACATGCAATTACTGCAGCTTGGCGCGAGCGCGCAAATTAATGCAATAATTGTTTTAAGTAGTTGTAAGCAGTTCGACATTATTCATTAGCGCGCGCGCGCGTTTGCTGAGATTCTAGCGCACACGGTGATCATCATAAATGCCGCAAACCACATTGAGTATTTAACATAGTGTGAGCGCAATATTGAATATTTCGCGCATGAGCCCGACGTCTGCGACCACCACACGTGCTGCTGCTTCAAAAGATATTGGATATTAGGCGTCGACGTGCGTGGCCGTCGGTGGTAATCTTTCGCAATCGCAGCCGGAGACCATTAGGCGCTCCGCCGCGTCCAATTAATTATTCGTCAGAAATCGCTCAAAGGGTGGAATCAGACGATATTATGTGTGCGATGTTGAAGAAGCGCACTTACATTGAGCGGGCGTGCATGCAAATCGTGTGAACAACAGCAATGCACAAACTCAAAAGAAGAATGATCCACGATAGATATACTCTGTATTGAAACGTATTCAATTTCGAGCTGGCTGAAGAAACTGAAAGCGCGCGAAATATTCGATACGCCTGTCGAAGGAAAGTCGCTCGCTCTTATTGTGTGATAATTGAATTGCTTCTGCGTTTCTTAAAAATTAATTCAAAAAAAAAAACAATGCGCGCATTGCGCCAAGAATGATTCCCACATCATTTTCACATCATTCCACATCGTCCTGCATTATATTTAAGGCATTGTGCAGACAACAACTTCTTTTTTTTTTTTTTTTCATTGAACTTCATTAAATCTAGAGTTTCCGTTTTTAATTGAAACTTTCTCGTGGAAACATCCACGGTTGTAATTTGACAACAAATGCTAACACAAACATGCAAATACGTACTATATTTTCAAAGTAATATTCTTTTGGTTTTGATTAAATGTGATGCGAGTGCGCGAGCAATCCGGCATGGAAACTAAAGTTTTTCCATGGAAAAGCGTAGCTCGTTATTATCGTGAAAAGCAGAGTTTCGTTTTTGACTAGCGTTATTTAATTATTTACGTATTGCACGTAAAATCTTTAAAAAGCATTTTGTTTTAATCTTTTTAACGCACGAGTTGACATCTAAAACGAAAACATATAAAAATCACAGCAAGCCTGGAAACAGATTTAGTGGATGCATTAATATATCTCCGGCTTCAATCGTTTTCACTGGTGCAGTGTTAAATAAATTACGCATGCAGTCGACGCGTAGCGTGTCCCTTACGCCACCTCAGCAGATAAACGTCAGCTCAACTTCAACTCAAACCCAACATTGTTGCTAGCCGTAGGCGAAGCCTCGCACGATCGCGCGCAAATTGAGTTAAGTTAAAAATTGAATACAGTAAAAGCTATTACAGCGCGGCGGAGACGACGCCGCGCGCGCGCGTAAACTTTCTTAATTAATCAAAAACGAACATCTAAATCCGAATCGAAAACACAAAGCAATCCCCGCAAATCTCCGCGCGTCGTCGGGAAACTCGCGGAAGACTTTTCCCTCCGTATTCCGCGCACGCAACCATCTAGTTCGCACACTCGACGATGGATTTATTAAAACTGAACCGGCGAATATATGAGTGTCGGCGCTTTTCCACGCGCTCGACGTGCTCGTTGTTTGTTTGCGCGTGGCGCGCGCGCAATTATTGTTTTCCGAAAGGTGCAAAAAAGAAAAGAAAGAAAAACGCGCGTGCGAACACGTCTGTGTTCCGGCGTTCTATCTCAGCGACCCCTCCACGACGTCGCAAAGTTGATTTGCTTCTATTAATCCACCGCAAGCACACAAGCTAAACGACGCCTGCCGCCTTGCGCCGCCCACAATGCGAGCATCGTAAGTCGCCCGGCTTGATTAAGGCTTTAATTGTATTTGTGACGATTAGGAAACGGAAATTGGCACTCAAATAATTTACCCGCGCCTCACTTTGTCGCGTACGCGCTGGCCTGTGCATTTATCTAATATGGTTCATAAGTAGATCTCGTGCATCATCTCTCCTAGCACATCAGCACCGCCAAGAAATGTGCCATCGATTTAATCAGACGCATTCGGCCAACGCGCGACAACCCTTCACGCGACTAGAACATCAGCGTACGTCACACGACAGCATCGTAGCCTGCTTCCTTTTCAATTTCAATTTGTCAAGTACCAATTGTAGTCGATAGGCGCTTACTCACAGCGATTATGACAAAAAGAATACGTTTTTAAACGTGTGAACGTGATGAAAGTGGCGTTATCGCGAGCCCCGATAATACACAAATTTCATCACGCCGCCGTCGCAAATCTTCGTCGCAAGATCTGATTAAATCAATATTGACACGAATAACAGTTATTTATACGGTCAGACCCGCGCGCACTCTAGACCCTGAGGGCGGACGTCGACGGCACGGCCGGGATTCGCCCTGCGCCGCGTGCCGTAGATACGGCGAAAAAGACAAAAACCTGAGGCCATTAAATTCTGCATCTTAATCCACGAGTCCGGGCTGCACGATGGAGCGCTTCATTGGAGCGTGCATTTGCATAATCTAGCAGGACATCCATTCGGATTAACCGTAATTTTTTGTTATCATTTTCATGAACGTTGTAAAAGAGGTAGAATCACGGACATATTTTAATATTTGCTGAATACATTACAGATTAAATACGAGTAGGATCGTGCCGATCGGTGTTGTTCCGTACCCTTTATTTACTACATCGCTGCGAATCAATTCTCCTATTTTTTACAACTTTCGTCTATTGCTGCCGCGTGCGCCTAAACATTCTTGGGATATTTAATGACTGTTCAATATATCTATATGTAATTGCACTTACTAATTTGCAACCAGATGTCATCAACACCAAATCGTAATTCCCCGTTGTTGAAATGCTTGCGGCAATTCTATGACAATTGTTAGTTGTTGTTAATTTCCGCTAGTATTAATTAAAACCGCGTACGCAATGAAACGTTTCAATTTGCAAAACAAATATTTCGCGGATTGAACCAATTACACAGACAACACCGAGGCCGAAATTTACGAAATCATCAACACTCCAATGCCTATCTGGGTTAGAAACGAAAGTAACAAAACTTTAAACCATCCAAACTGGCTAATTAACCAACCATTCGAGCTTTGTTCAGCGAACTGAGCAAATGATCACGGATAAAGACGAATCGAATTAGTTACATCTACTACCTACAATTTATACGTTTACATTAATTTCGAAAATTTATAATTTATCGCCTACCAGTTACATTTTTAAACTAGGATTGATCCATTTTAAACTTTATTTGAATTATACAGACACCTGTTTTGTTGCTACAAAATTTGTATAAGAAACATATTTAAAACTAAAACTTTTTCGTACTGACACGCTTTTTACGACTTACTTATTTATATGTAGAAGAAAAAAACTTTAAAAAATCGATATAGCTTTGTGATTTTGCATGATCCCTCGATTCGAGGCGTCAAAGTTGGACATCTTCAAAACCCTTATTCAATGCAAGAGAGAGTTTTGACATCTTCTTGTCCACAAACAGATTTAACTCACAACTTCAGTTCTGCGCTATCGATTTCCAATGTATTCTTTAACTTTTATTAATTAACACCACTCAACGCTGCCAACACCAAAATAGAATTATCAATTTATCTTTAAGCAAACGTATCTAATACTTATTGACGGAAATCCCTGTTAAAAGGTTTTGTTGCTTCGCGTATTATAGAATATACTATACGAACCTACAAATCAATTGTATATTATAAAATAGAAAGTTTTAATATCATCTAATTTAATATTATCTGCAATCGATAATAAAGCCGCCCTAAGAATCGAATACTGAACGCGTAGATACGAAACGAATTCGAAAATACATAATAGATATTGAATTATTCATCTGCGAATAAAGGGGATTCGATTACACCAATTTTACATGCATGAATTAGATATTACAGCCATATATTGGCTAGTTGTGCCTTGTCTATTACCTTTTTTAGATTGCACGAACACGCCCGTGAAGCAATGAAATCAGCTGTAATATTTTATTTGATTGGGGGGC